GGGTACTTAGATTGTACTGGTTTGCAAAAAAAAAAGTACACACACCAGTTGGTTATTCACTATATCTGGTTAAAAGGGAGGAAATTGTCGTAAAATGTCATTAAAAAAAAAAAGGTACACAGACGAGTTGATTATTCACTATATGTGGTTAAAAAGGAGGAAATGGTCGTGGTCGTGAAATGTCATTAAAGAAAAAAAAAGCAAAATACGAATCATATGAATTTAAATGAAGATTATATGACATAGAGAAGAACTTATATATTTTTTTATTATTTTTTATGAATGATGACATGATGTATGTAAACGTTGCAACAACACAAAAAAAAGGCCCATTGGATTCTCCCCCAGTTTTGGTAGGTTTTGACACGGGTAGGTAGTGGCTTCAGAGACAACACACATGGACTATATATATATTATTAAGGAAATAAATAAAGAAATAACTCAGAGACCAAAGGCTATTGGATGGCAAACCCAACGTATATATATGATTTGGATGACTGTCGTGCATATTATTTTTTTAAAATGCGTTGTATTTTTCGTTGCAGTTTTTCTCTGCAACGACCATTGGACGCCAGCGGAATTCCTCATGGCCATGCATACCATTCTCAGTATCTCACGTTGGGCCTTGTGCATCCTTATTTCGTGCTGCAAATTTAGGGCTTGTTTAGATGAACCTAAAATCAAAATTTCAGACTTCAAGATTTTCTCACATCGAATGTATTTGATAATTATTGTCCAATCATGGTCTACGAAAAAGGCTCAAAAGATTCGTCGAGAAATCATGAATTAAACTTTAAGCCTAAATAATTAGTTATTTTTTATCTATATTTAATACTCCATACATGTGCCCAAAGATTTAATGTGATGGAGAAATAGTGAAAAAACTTAGAATCAGTACTACCAGACACACTACTGCTGTACTGCAGCTCTGCACCAGCACTTGTGACTTGGGGCCAAAAACAAGTACAGATGCCGGAGTATATTCCAATTTCCTTTTGAGCATCCCCTCCGCCGGGTCCGGTAAACAATGCAATTCTAACACAGCCAAATAACGAATTAAATTATATTGACATTGAAAATTTATTGCAAAATACTAATATTTATGAAATAAATAAATTTTATTAAATTCGTTATGTAATATATTATATATTTTATGTTATAAATACTGATATAAACAATATAAATCTTTAAATGTGTATGTGTATAGAATCCTACTGTTCATCAACAGCATTTCACACTGTAGATTTACTGTGTTCCAAATCAGTTTTTCCTCTTGGTTACATGTTACGAATAAGTTTTTTTTTCTCTTGGATAATACTTTTACTCTGAAAGAATTTAGGAGGCAATCAATATTATTCGATTTTACACGCCAAAAATCCAAAAAATGGGGCGCTTGTTGCTAGTCTTTTTATAAATGTAATCAAAGATGAAGCTAGAATTAGCTCCTTTTTAGAAAAAATGTAGTAGTACTCTGTACTTTATGAAAAATTAAAATGTTACTGCGGAAGCGTAGCATCTACAACCCTCTTGTCGTCCGTTATTTTAGAGACAGATAACACCATATGACTATCATCGCTGAAACCACCTTGCAGTTTGCCCGTGATGCCTCCTCTAAACCTGCCCCACCACCCTGAACTCTAAGTCTCTCACCTATAATCATAACCAGTGTTATCGGTAAACAGTAAACAATCGGTCACTCGTTGTTTAGGTATTATTCAATCTAAATGGCCACTTAAATGGACAAAATAGTTGTTTAAAGGGCATAAACGGACAATTAAACCGAAACGACATACCACCATGTACGTTAACGTTAAAACGGTGTGTAAATAGACTAAACGACTGTTTCAGCAAGCAGTGTCCATAACCTCACTAGCTAGTTTGTTGAAGTTTGGATAAGACCTCGTAAAAGCACGATACAAATCATGGGTTGCCACGTGTAAAAATAATTAAAACGACTTGATTGCATTTAGGCTTCCGCTATGGTTATTATTGGATCTGTCTATAGCTCACCCGTGTGAACCGTCACACGTTTTTTTCCTCCTCCAATACTATTCATCTTCCACCTCCCGCTGCTCGTCGTCGCCCACCGCCCCACCGCGGCGCGGTAGGGTCTCGTCGGAGCTCCGCCGCTGCGGCCCGCGGCGGCAGAGCTCCGACGAGACCCTAACGCGCCCGTGGCGGCCTCCCTCTTCCCTCCCCCCTCCCGCCGCCGCTTTCCTCTCTAACTCCGGTGAACGACCGCGACTCCTATGTCCCGACCTGGCCCGGCCGCCGCTACCAACGCCAGGGCCCCTAAACAACCCGGCCACCATCCTCATTGCCTGGCCTACCTGCCTCCCCCCAGCTGGCCCCTTCTATACCCACCGGAGTTAGAGAGGAGAGGCTCGCCAGAACCCTAGCCACTACTGCTGATATCCAGGAGGAGGAGGAGGAGGAGGAGGAGGAGGAGGAGCTGCCTACCTCACCGGCGCCGCTAGCACAGTTGGGGAAGAAGGACAAGGGGTGGGGAGGCTGTGGGGGGTACGACCCCGGGTACCCACGGCGCAAGACATGGCCCGCACCATCAGGGATGGTCCAGTCCATCAGATGATGACTTGTGGAGCACGGCACTACTCGACGCATACCGCAAGACATCAAAGCGATATCCTGAAGATGGCGTGAGATCTCTTAGGATATGTCGTATATTAGTTTCCTTGTAAAGATTATCCATTACCAGATTAGATTAAGATATAACCGACTTGTAACCCTACCCCTAGGCTATATAAGACGGGTAGGGGACCCCCTCAAAACATATTCAATCATATCGGATAGCCAATACAAATCAACAAAACATAGGACTAGAGTATTACGTCGAGCTGACGGCCTGAACCTGTCTAATCTTGTGTCTCTGTTGCCATTTGATTCCTGCTCACGCGCACCTCTCCGTGCAATCTACCATTGTGGGTATACCCCTCGGTGGACTGCCGACGATAATCGTCGGGTAGAAGAAAATTCGAGTGAGGAAAGGTTCTAAATCACACGAGTGAGCTTTAGCTTTTACCTTATTATATAGTCGGGACATTGATAATCCTGATAGGACTCCAAAATGGCAAAATGTACCGTGGTACAATACGTATTTATTATACTTGTAATAACGCCATGAGACCATAAAAATCCGGGAGAGAATAGCCTCACTACTTGTGAGTTTTTGCAATGCGAAAACTAGAATTTTGCCACCAGAATTGGAGTATGATGCATGGGCAGGCAGTTCCGGCCGGTCGTCTGATCCTGATCCGAGAGAGACAACACTGCAGTAACACTCACACTGCTGCTACGTACGGTACGGCTGCGGCGTACTACAGCTTTGGCCTGATTTGCATGCGGGACCACACGGCCACTTGCGCGGCCACGCGTGCGGGCCTGCGCTGGCTCGCCAATGCTTGTTGCTTGGCCGTCCGTCCATCCGTGACGTGCCTTGCGCTGCCTCTCCTCCCCGGCCTGCCGTCGCCATTGCTACTGTGCATGCATGTTGCAACATATATTGGCATCTAGTCATCTACTGCACCGCGGTGCTATTACCAGATGCATTGCTAACCGATGAACCAATGATTGTTATGATGTAGCGCGGCATGGTTCCGCCATAGCTGCTGCTTCTTTGAGATATAAGTTGTTGATAGTCTCGAGAGTCATGGCTTGGGGACACGTATATATATATATGGAGAATGGAGAATAAGAATTTCTATATATAAAAGCAGGAGAGTTTGGCCACTAACTGGGCTATCCACGTCGCCCCGAATTTTTTCGTCAATCCGATCCTCCATCGTGTGGCCCTGATTTGTTGGATCGGATTCTACTGGAAGCGCCTTCCCGTGCCTTCCCGTGCTTCTTCTTACCTTCTTCGGCTTCTCCTCTGCTTCTCTTTACCTTCTCTGACTTCTCGTCCGAATCCAGTCAACCAAATATATACCCAGCTTCTTCTTGGCTTCTGCTTCTCCTTCAAAATATCTCGCCTCCTCCTCCTCTCTCCCTCTCCCCTCGCTACTCGCCCCGACCCCCGCCATTCCCTGTGTTGCGGCCACGGCGCCGTCCCGGCGGTGCCCCGGCGCGGGTGCCGCGGGTCCGGCCCCGGCACCGGCGGCGCACCCGGAGCGGCCGGCCTCCGAGCTTGTCGGCATCGTGGCCGCCCCCCGCCGGCGCGAGAGCACCCAGCACGGCCAGCACGGAGTCACGAGCGGCCCCCGGTGACGCAACCACCGAACCACGTCGCCTTGCCCCGCTTCCACGAAACCCTACCTGCCTGTGCTCCACGACTCCGGCTGCACGTGCCATCTTCGTCGCCGACGGCCACGGTGGCGTCTCAGCTCCGAGTCTGGATCTGGCGGATCTCTTATCTCCTCGTCGATTTATGGGACGCAAGGTACCCAGCTAACCCCACCACACTTCTGCTGGCAAGTGCATCGCTCAATTAAATCTAGGTTTGGTCGCAGGTAGAAGCTGTGAAGGAATCAGTTGCCGGCTGACAATTTCCTCTGAAATCATCTAATAGTTGTTTTTGTATTCTGTGTTGTTTTATTTTTTCGAATGTTCTACTACATCCAGTGTGTTGGAACAATCGCTCAGGGTCAAAGATGCAGCTGGCACCTAGTCTGCAAGTTCAGTGCAAAAGTCTTGAGAAGTCTAGACAAGCCAGATCAACAACGGCGATCACGTCATCTTCAGTTTGTTCCTGCTACAAAGTTAAATTAGTATATGTATTACTATATGCATATAATGGGGTATCATTTAGTGGTTCACAATCATCGCTCTCATGTCTGCCTTGTTCCCGGCGTGTAGCATTTGAGCTTGGTATTCCTCCTGAGGACATCATTGCAGACCTCATCATTACAAACCATCCGCTCTTTGCCATTGCGGGGGGAGTACGCTGGATTTCTTGCCACAGAAGCCACTTCACGCAGTGGGGGTAAAGTTGTGATGATCTCGTTCTAGCACCGTCAAAATTTATCTTCAGCTTTTCCTTTGGGTCATTTTGCAATTTGCTCTGTGCACATCTTCTGTTTGTTTCCGGCTAAAAAATTAAATTAGTATAAATGACATGAATGAGCTACAAATTGCTTCATGAAATGTCTCTAAGGTTGTATTTAAAAAATAGATATGGCTTAATTTATATTTATCCATGCACACATAAAAACAATTCAAGGTTTATATGTGCGAAGGCTGAATGGGTTAGTTTGTATTTGCACACCTAAAATGATGTCATGGTTAACAAAATGGAATTTGGGCCTGTTGCTGAAGCTCGGTACCTCAGTTTTTTTTTTTGTCTATGTGCTGAACCTGTTACATACATGCATTCTCTTTGTGTTGTCTTATTTACAGGCTTCTTTCCTTGCGTTAGGTAATTTCGTGTTCGCGGCAGTTTCTATGCAGATGCAGTTTCCTAGATGTGCTCCAGCAGACCCTAGACGCACCGGTATTGAATGGTCTGTCTTGCTGATTTTTGTGTCAAAAATATTTCATACATTCTACTGGTATTTAATATGTCTGCATCTCAGCCTCACATAACTGGATTGAAGCTATATGAAACTCCTAATATTATTTACATGCAAAGATTAAACATATTTTTTTTACCAACGCCTTAATCAAATGATTTGCCGACACACGCGATCATGGACTAGTACTAGCACCAATCGTGCGCGCTCCGCTGCACGGGCCGAGGTTGAAACACTAACAGAAAAAGCAGCTAAACAGTAAGAACTGTGGAGGTACACAGTGGTGCATAAACGGTACAGATATCCGACAGACCGAATCCGTTTAGAGATGTTCAGATCTGACTGTATTTAAATCTGAATATTCAACATCGATACCGTATCTATATCCGAATACTCAAATCATATATTTATGATGTCAATATCCAATCGTATCTTATCCGACATAGTTGATATTATTCATATTTGAATTTGAATCCGGACAAAAAAATATATAAACATATTCGATCCGTTTTCATCCCTGACCCAGGAGACCATCCTACATACGTCAGGTACCGTTCTTTTGATCCTGCTAGTGGTAAAGTGCTCGAGTACAAACATGACGTACCGTAGATGCTTGCCATTATTCGTCGCAACTCAGCCGGGTATAGACGTATGGTGGCGTTGTGCACATCGAGGCTGCTGTTCTAACGATTGGTGCTCGACGTGGTTCGGGATGGACAACCTTGAACACACACCTTTGGTGTGTTTGGTTTCCTGATCAACTGTTAGCCTGATTAGAATTTTAGTCCGGGCATCTTTAGCCTACTTCCACTAAATTGAATTTGTGATTATTTGGTTGTCTGTGTTGACTAAATCTGACTAACCTCAGGGTGTGTTGGTTTGTTTTGACAGTCACCTTTTCTTAAAATTAGTTTCGTTACCGCTTTGAGGCATTTCTTCCAACAAGTGGTGGGCATCCTCGACGAGGACGGTACAAGGCAGCAGCAAGGCGAGCATCACGAGCACGGCGACCACGACGACCAGCAGCACGAGCAAGGCGAGCACGACGAGCACGGTGAGCACGGCAACACCACGGCGAGCTCAGCAAGACCAAGGCGGGCACGGCGGCACCACAAAGCGAGCACGACAGAGCAGGGCGGGCACGAGCGAGCAGGGCGGGCACCTCCGCTCGAATCACTGGCGGCGTCGTTGTCCTCAACTCAAAACGCGTCAGGAGCCTGAGATCTGGAAGGAGCTCACTGCCGTTGGCATCGTCCTTCACCTGCAGCAGCCTGGCCTCGGCCTTCCCCTCGCCGCCCACGAGCACGACCTCCACGGCGGCCTCCTTGGTCGTGCCCCTCTCCGCGGCGGTGAATAGGCATGCCACCACGCAGCACAGGGAGGTGGTGGCCACCAGCGGCAGGAAGAAGGCCGCGGCTCGCGGGAACGCCGTGGCGTCGTAGAGGAGCGCACCGAGCGCTGCTACGGCGGACGATGTCGTCGAAGAGGACGCGCCGGCGAGGGAATGGTAGCACGCCCGTAGCTGCAGCTCCACGGCGCAAAGCTTGTCGTGGACCGCTCTGCGTAGAGCGTGGCAGCTGTGGTGGCGAGTCTGCGAGCAGCAATAGCTGTGCTGTGCTTGATGGAGAGAGTTTGCAAGCGAAGTGACGGTGCGGTGATTCGTCCTCCTCCGCGTGCAGTGTTGCCGTCCGGTAGGTGAGGGGAAGGGCGGTGACACTGCTATTAGAATTTTAACCAAAACAGGCATTTTAGCTTAACCGAGACGGTTGGCCAGGACGGTGACACTGCTACATAAACTTTAACCGAGATAGACATTTTAGCTTAACCGAGGCGGGCAAGCCAACCGCCTCAGCACAAAGATCACGGCCTCAGTTAATAGATTAACCGTGGCGAGCATCATAAGCTAACCACCTTGGTCTCGGAACGTACCCGCCTCGCTTAAGATTTTAACCGAGGCGGTTGAATAAAGACGCCCACCTTGGTTAAGATTTTAACCAAGACGGTTTTTATTACTTAGCCGCTCGGTTAATGATTTTCATATTAAAAAATGTTTTTTCAAATTAGAATTTAAATTTGAATTTAAAATTTCGCTAATGAAAACACAGATAAAGCAGAAAATAGATGAGAAACATATATTATATTCATTCTCGTCGACAAACCGACATTAAGTTGTTACATTAGTGATGTCTTCATCATTGTTTCACAAACACAAATCATTCGTACATCAACAACTAAGGCCATTCATACATATCATTTTTTACCGAAAAAGAGGTCTGGCAGAATGTAATTCGAGATTCGTAACTTGGTGCTCAGTTTCTGATCCTATCAAGCTTCAGATCCCGTGCTAACTCGCTTTCCCTGTTGAAGAATGTATTCCCTTCATGTGCGCTCTCTGTGACAAACTTACATATGTCTGCTATTGTTTGTCTAAAGTCTTGGTCGACCTTCTCCCTTCGCCACCATCCTTGTGCTTTCTTGAGCTACCGCCAGCTGCTGCTGAATCTGCTGCACGTCCTCAGGTACTCGCAAACGTAGAATCCACATAGAACTGAGCCATATGGTTGTTTAGCGCACTCCACGATATATAATACACAATCATTAGAGCATATATAATAAACAATCAATAGGAGTAGTGGAACTAGTAGTAGTGAGTAGAGTAGAGTAGTAGTACTAGTAGAAGGAGTAGGAGGAGGAGGAGTACTAGAGTAGAGTACTAGGTGTAGTATTATGAGAAGAGCAGTAGTAGTATTGGTACTTATTGGAAACTCATGCCTGAGTTTTAGTTTCGTGCCATTCTTGATCTTCTTCTTCTTCTCATATCTCCGATCATAGCAGTCGGGATCTTTCACGTACTTCTTATAAGCGCTATACGAAAAACCACTAGTGTCAACGACATTTTTAACAAGTATGTTAACTGTAAATGAATAAGTTCCGTCACTTACTATCTCAAACAGCTTTCAAATTGCTTGTACCATGCTTTGTTTGTGTCCCGCAAAGAGTCAAATATACAAGCCCTTCCATCTAGAGGATAGATTATAAATGCAATGCAGTGGCCCATGATGTCCTAGGTACACCATTCACACAATACAAATTATAAATGTTCAAATATGAGATGTCATGATCCCAGTACCTATATATATATATATATATATATATATATATATATATATATATATATGTGTGTGTGTGTGTGTGTGTGTGTGTGTGTGTGTGTGTGTTTCAAGTATCTTTTGGACTTACCCGAACTGGTGGGCAGCCATGACGCACCCATTTCCCCGGACCTTCTTCATGGCCTCATAGATGTACATTCCCGCTCGATACTTATATTCGATTACCAGATCTTCCCTATATTTTTTTCTCTCCTCCGGGTTCAAGTTCACCAGCTTTTCATGAGTGTCTGGTATATCGTAACCCGTGATGGTTCTCTCTGTAATAAGCATCAGAGATAGATAGATAATATCCTTGCCCAATTCCTTGCTTACATAGGCCTACATCCTGCAAGAAAAAGTCATCATGGCATTATTAGTTTGTTCCTAAAGTACCTACATCGATGCAGTAGTGTCAAGCCATAAGTAACTTATAGGGCAAATAAGGTGACTTGGGCGACGTCGATGTCCTTTCGCCGCAGTAGTCTATGCATGTCGTGGAAATCTACGATGACTTCACCATCTGTGGGCATGTGGAAGTACTCTGCCAGAATGTTGATGACGAAGTTTTTTGGGCCCACTTTCGCTGCTTCCATGTACCACAGATGGAACCTCCTAACCTCCCACTTCTCTTCAAGGAGGTCGCCCAAGATTGACATGAACTTCCCATGCACGTAGTTTTCGGGGCAATCATCCGACCGGGGACAAAACGACGGCGGTGTTTTTGGCCTGCAACACTGGGGCTTGAGATGTTAGCGAGTGGAAAAAGCAGATAGCATCTCGAAATGAATTATAGATTGACTATGCTTGCTAGTAGCATACCTTTCAAATGTAGTTGAGTATGGGTGCTCATCGGCTATTTGATAGGCCACCCAACTCGACTTGGTGTGGTTCGGGGGTATGGCCTTCTCTACATCTGTAGGCTTCCTCGGCAGGGGAGGACATTGGTTTGAGCCCTGCTTCAAACCACTTGTAGGCGGTGGTGTCACATCGCCCGATGCTACCCCTGTGCTTCCCTATGGATTGTTGCTGCCGGGAGGCGGACTGCCCAGAGCACTACTGCATGGGCCGCCAGCATTATCGTTGTCATCACCGCCGTTGTCATCGTCACCACCGCCTCCGTCGTCGTTGTCACCCGGGTCATCCGAGGGAGACGACGATGAGTGTGAGGGCTGTGACGCCGGCGTCGACATGTCCAAGACAATGTCGCTCTTGTTCCATAGCACGCGCATGCCAATAGTAGCGCCGATGAACCTGTACCCCTCTTCAATGGGAATGTCGATTTAATCCTCATTAAAATCTTTGTTGGTCCACGTCATGTCGACCCGGGCATAGTCGGGTGGGATCGGCTTGCCGTCGTACATGGCACCGCTTTCGGGCGGCAGTGCCACTCCCGTGGCCACATCCTTCTTCCTCTGTTCCCTGCCGAAGGGCACCTAGAGCGTGCAGCTCGTTGGTTCAATGATGTTGACTGGGTACCTAGGGAGTTGTCCGGTCCATGGCACCATCTACCCTTGTATGGCGGCTTGACCCTATGGTAGCAGCACGTCAGCCTGGTGAAACATCTGTGTCCTTAGCTCCACCATCTTGGGGTCGGTGCTCGTGAAAGCGTCTTTTATCTTCCCCATGATCATGTCCTTGACTACCTCATCACGGCCTTTCTAGAGGAGCCCTTCCTTGTACCTCCACCTCATGTGGTAAGAGTTGGCGTCAGATTGCCAGGCCTCCATGTCTTTCTAGCTCTGCCTCGAGGAAACCCCACGGACGTGGCTGTGGTGCTCGGGGTTTCCTAGCGCCTCGGTTAGTACGTCCCTCTCTCGATGAGATTCGAAGGACCCACTCTTCTCGGCCGCAGAGACCTCTAGGATCCTCTTCTCTACCTCCTCGACCTTTGGCTCATTGTACTTGGTCCTGCCCTCCTTCAGCTTTTTCATCTTGCGGGCATGAGGTAGTTACGTGACCTCTCATCGACACCCTATAATGGATTCGGCTACCCGGCCTCAGCTGCCTCCCTTTCTTCCTGCCACCACTTCTCCATCTTTGCAGCGTACGATGTCATGCCTAGGTGGTGGTGGAGCTCGTTCCTCTTTGAGAGCTCAGAGAACTTCTCGCCCTTGGCCTTTGCTTTTTTGGTCGATTGTTTCACGATGAACTCTTCCCAGACGTCACGCTTGATGAAGTTATAGTCATCGAATGGTGTCCTCCCTTTCTGCATGTACTCCCTATTGAGCATGGACCTAAAGTTGTGAAGAGCTTTGCCTACAACAAATAGTGCATGCCCTATGCACTTGTCTTCATCATAGCCCTCCGCTGGATACGTGAACCGCCTCTTCACCTCTCCCCACACATTTCCCTTGATGTCCTTGGGGACTTTTCTCCAATCATCATATGTTATAGGCACCTTCTCCCTGACTATACATGAACACTGGTTGCTGAAGGTGCCGATGATGATAGTTGGCTCCAAGGGCTCTCCTTTCGGCCCTATCTTGTGTATCGCATGCACTTTCTTCTTGCTAATCTGATGCCTCTCGTGTTGACCCCTCTTCAAGTCTGACTTCTTCTTGCTACTTGTCGTTGCGGTTGAAGAAGTGCCCGAGGAGGGACCAGGTGCTTCCTCCTCCTCCCCTTCTTCACCGTTGGGGTACTGCAAATGAAGAGGCACCATTGGTATCTATCGCGGACAAGAACTCACATTAGTTATATACTTACACGAGGCCAGCGAATGTTGTGTCAATTAATGTGCACTGCTTCGTCTACATACCTCATGCCTCATTGCTTTGGTATCATCTTCCAGAGGCTGTCGTGGCTCCACGCGAGAACCTCATGCCTCGCCCTTCCGATCAAAGTCTACATCATCTTCTTCCTCACCATGAGGTCTCTTCACCGATCTCAGTGTTAGTTCCTCACTCTCGTACGAGGTGCTCCCGTCTGATGACGAGCCTTCATCATCGTTCGCATCAGGAGTAGCCTCACGCCAATTTTCAAGAGCCTCCTTGGTCGACATTGATGGCTATGACGAAGAGAGAGTTATAAGAACATTTCATAATTATATAAACACAATGCTATATTCATCTCAAAACATATATAAAGGAATCATTAATTATATATATTCATTTGAAAACAAGATTACATCCTTTTTTTCATATACATTGCGTGTAGGGATACAAAAAGTGAAGAAAAGTACAAAATTGTATAAGAAAATTATAAAATTATACAAGAAAAGTACAAAATTTAAGAATTTGGAGAAAAATCATGTACATAGTTTGCTCAGATTCGCCCCATTGTCATCACATCGCTTCTAAACTGGTTGCTTGTATACAAACCATCAAAGTTTAGGAGCTTAGTACCAATAGGGGGGTCATTTGATCATCATAGCCGCTGCCTCAGCATAAAAGGGTTTACATCATTGCAAATGCCACTGTCTCAGCATATTTTTCAAAGTTTTAGTTCATCATTGCATATGCCACAGAGAAGTTCAAATTCAAATCGACCCCGAAGGCACTACTACATAAATTCTTTTACAAAGCGTTGCACAAGTGGGCTTCGAGGCGGTTGGCCTGGTTGCCCGCCTCAATTATTCAAGGCAGGGCTACTCAAATCG